TGTCTCGTGTCCGTGTCTGTGCTTCTTAGAAAAGTAAGAATAGGTTTAGAGGGAGTAGAGCAAAAATCACTGGGACAAAGAAAGATTGAGCGTTATTCATCTCTATCCACTAGTCCTTTTGACCATGGTTTACCAGCCCTCTTCCTCTACTTCTTGATGCTCCTTTAAACTAGAAGTTCTTTAGGGAAACTGTTAGGCCCCTCATAACCAAGACATATCATAGGAAGGGTAAAAAGGGAATGTTGGGAGTATAGGCCATAACGGCCAGGAGAGAGAATGTTAGTAGCGGCGGTTAGAGAGTACRGTTAGGGTATAAGGTAGGGGGAAGGTTGTAGGGAGGATTTTATCTTTTTGCTGAATTGTGTTTGTCTTGTTAAGCAAGCCAGGGAGAGTTTCCCCACCCTCTCGAATAGGTGGGTTAGCATTTTGTAAAGCTTGAGGGCTCCTTCGTTGTTGGAGTAATAGAACTAGTGAGGAGATACCTCACAGAAACCTGCATAGATGACCAGACAATTTAGATAGAAAAGACAACAAATAGAAAGGATATCCTAAATAAAATTTTGAATCTTAGTATAGATTTAGTATAGATGAGTTTAAAGTCTGATACATAATTACTAATGTATTCCTTCATTTTGTAGGCAGTTATCTGCTTGGATGGTGACGGCTGCAAGATTAGAAATGGATCTGGATTTACTGAAGGAGAATCGGATCTTGATACCTCAATTGCTTGCGACTCATGTGATACATGGTAAAATTGGAGCATTTTCCCTTTTGTTTTCTCATTTGAAGTTGAAGAATGCCTTACGTGCATGCATACATACATTGCATACAACACACATACATACATTACATACAACACACATACATACATTACATACAACACACATACGTACTTATGTGGGCAATTGGGCAGAACATCCTTATGAATATGTACATTTGACTAAATGCCCTAAAATTAAATTTGAGCCAAAGTACCCTTTTCTCTACCAAATTGCCCTTAATTAATCCAACCAACATCCTTCCACTTCTGCATCTTCATCAATTCCTACCAGTAGTCCAAACCAAAAATTCCATTGTTAGCTTCTGCAATTTCTCCAAGACTCCATGTTGTCACATATCCTCTCCTCCATGTCTTCCACAGACCACAACTTCTGCTTCCTTCATGTCTGCCACTTTTTTCAACTTCCGAGGCATCCTTTTAACGTTTTTTATTTTTACACATTTTTTTATTCATTATCATATAAATTTYGATGGCATCCTCTTAACTATCTCAAAGTCATTTTCATGAAACTATAACCATCTCTTCTTCTTTTTCTTCTTAAGTTCCAATTCACCATAACTCCCATGAATCACATATATTCTTCGCCAATTCCTTTCCATCCCAAATCCATTCCATGGATCATTAACCGAATCACAAGATCCATAGATCTAACTACAGAAACCAAATGAATGAAAAAAATAGCACTCACAGAGTTAGTTCAGTTTGGACAGCCCCTTGCTCGACTATCCTCATTGCAATGGATGGTGCCCAAAGCCTCCTCGCTGCGAAGGGCGACCACCTTTGCTCCCCACGGCTSCAGTGCCGTGACCACTTCGGGTTTGCCTGCAATAGCTCCGTCAACTCCAATCTCTCCTATTTGGAGTGAAATATCATTGGGCGAAATATTTCCTCTTTTGAGGGTTTGCTTGTGTTCATGGATCGCCATCTCCAGGCTTTTCGCTCAAKATCATGCCAAACTGTGAAACCGAACTACAAAACTGTCAGTTTTCGGTTTGGTTCACACCGATTTCAACTTACTTTGTGGTTCAGTTTCATATTTTTTATTTAAAAAAATGCAGTTTCAGTTTCGGTTCGACTCTCAAATTGAGCCAAACCGAACCATAAACACCCCTAGTTTGATCATTTAGGGAATTTAAATCTACCTCAAATAGATTTTTCAGCAAAATCAGGTTTTTCCTTCCTTGTTAGTCCTTTGGTCAAATTTAAAGCTCTGGTGGTATATGATTTCGAATTTCAAAGCTTCGAAAAAGGTCAAAATTCTTTGGTGTTTGTCTTGTAGAAGTGTCAATATAGCTGAAAAGCTCCAAAGGCGTTATCCTAGTTGGTCTCCATCCCCTTCTTTGAGTAGTCTGTGTAGTAGAAATTGTAACAGTAATTCAGTAATTCCTTACTCTCGGTGGCTGGAAAATCCTATTCTCACTAGACATGGTGCTGGAAAAGCCTATTCTCACAAGACATGGCGCTATAAACAGGGGCATGGTGTCACAACCATACTAGTAGAGAGTAGGTTGTGACGCCCACGTAGTGTGCAAGTGTCAGCGACAAGCATATGTCGCCCATCGGGCCATGACAAGGGCCGAGAGAGAAGTGCCATGATGCGACCAAGGAGGATGGTGCATCACCTAACACACCATATGAATGTGCTCAAGAATGCCTAGAGAAGCCATATGCAGAATGCAAGGCGAAGGCGATGTCAGTGGTGTCGGTGACAAGCTCAACGAGGGCCAGTTGGGGCCCCGGGCCACGACCCTAGAAGTCGGGGTTCCGTCGAGAGTTTGGACGAGCGGCTTTAGAGTTAGATGCATATTAGTGAAATATGTAAGCACGCAAAGTTTCGTGTCAATCGGAGTTCAGACGTGCGTTCTACGTTGGCGAGTGACTCCTCGCCACTTTCGACGTACATGCAGATGTGTATAAGAGACAGCAGTAAGCCACATCACTAAATGGGAAGTCATGGACCCATAATTAATATCACTTGTATGTCCATTAA